ATGGATTGGTTTAGGAATGATTATTAATTTAATCATTGTTTAATGGTTTTGAATCTAATGAACCTATTAATGGATGTGATTGATGTATTATATATAATTATTAATATATATGTGTGTATCATTGTTTATTAAAAATAAAAACTTTATTAGGATTGGTTTTGGTCAGAAATGATCTGTTTATTGGTTTTCAGAGGCCTGGTAAAGAGAACTTGCTTGTGGGTTTAACCCACTTATTTTTATCCTTTAGGTTCTAAAGGTTCAAGTCTCAAGGTTGAGGATCTGCAGTTAGAGGATATATCTATTCTTTCTATTTTATTTTAAAGTATGATATTATTACTTTATTTGACATTGGTATTTATTTATGAACTTCTAGATAGTGATTTTTGGTTAAGGGGTCATTGAGTTACGGGGTTCCCGAGTTGTAACTATTGTAGAGTTATTAATGAATTTATTATATATTAGTTTTTTTCAGCGTATTATTTATTCTTTCTTTCATTTTGAAATCTGTGCTTATTTGAAATACTTTAATTGTTTTGATATCCCCTGATTTTGTGCACGGACTTGATTAACCCATGTTCCGAAATCAGGGGATATCACAGTTGGTATCAGAGCACTCCAAGTTCAAGTGTCCCTAGGGTGTCTTTCGTTATGTGAATTTCGCGCTGCGTCTCTTGATACTTAGAGCCATAATAGGATTCGTTGTATTCTATCTACGGTCCACTAGGACAGGCTGATGTTAATTATATTCTGTATTTGTAGAATGGTTGACACTAGGAAAAAGAGAAGGTCCGAGGCAAAAGCAATGGAGGACCTAAGGAAGTAAGAGAATACGTACTCGATTCATATTTGAATTATATTAGATTTCTCTGCTAAAGAAGATCTCAGAATTTAAAATTAGGGATCCAATATCCTAATGGAGGAGATTGTGTAGTATCCAAGAATGAGGGTACTGAGTCTTGAAGATGAGTGATCGCATGAAAGAGATATTATTTGCTAAAAGTATAGCGAATGATATTGGAAAAATAGGAGTTGTGCAACTTACATATAATTAGCGGTGTATTCATCTCTAACGAAGATAGATGAATGTCTAGGAATTTGGTGAAGTTCTTATTAGAACAAATCATTGTATTAGAGATATCTATTGTACTCACGAGAACATTGGTATTATAACGTGATGATTCAATTCTTAGCTATATAAAGTCATATAGGATAATTTACTATAAGGGTAGAAGGTGGATAAGGATCGAGCCCTTGGTATTCGGGTAGGCAAACAGAAGTTGCCTTTATTTATGTTTAAGGGTTTTGATTCGAGGTAGGATGATATCCTGCGAATCTGAGAAATAAAATTTTATGAATCAATTCCTATGAGTTTGATTCCAAAGAAGTTTTTCTTCAAGTGAACGCTACTTTAGAATTGGGTAAACTTAAAGAGTGTTTTTGTTTAGACCGTAGTTGGGTGTGCTAGGACATGGTATGTATTTTTGCTATAACATGACCTTATAGTGGGATTAGCATTTATCTTTACATGAGGGATGGTTTATAAAGATAATTCTCGAATTGATTAATTAAGGTCCCAGACAATAAATGGGACTTAGGCACAGTGATATGTGTGAATTTAAGGTATAATGTTATCGATGCATATTTATAAGATTAATTCGATTATGAATTTAATCTTATAAATTGTTTTCATAGATGAGATTTCATGTTTAATATGAGATAAGACTGCAGATCTTATTTTTGGTGGATGAATAAATTAACAGCATTTGTATATTTCTGATATGTGTTGAAATATTTGGTTGAAGGAGAAAAATAACTTATAAGTAATTCCTGTGATGTATTAAATGGTAGTTGTTTTATGTGATCTTATACATGATTTATATATGTGTGGATTGTTTTTAGGATATGGTTTCATTATACACCATTGTCAGGATATGGTGGTATATTGAGGATGAACTGGCTAATAAGTTTAGACTCATTCTATATCATGCCATTGTCAGGATATAAATGACATGCCATTGTTAGGATATGGCTATTGCATAATTTTTTTATGAATATATTTACTGCTCATTGTTAGGATATGGGTATTGTTTATTGGTGCGCCATTGTTAGGATATGATTATCTATATCTATATGATATTATGTGTACCATGATACGAGCTTGAGCTCTCATAATCAGTGGTTAGGATGGAGGCGTATATTGCCGATTGAGATGGGAAGCGGGTTATTATCTAAAACATTTACCATGAAGGGTATAACGTGGTTTAGCAATAAAGATGAGGTTATTACTTTATTATGTGAGTTATTTATATTTTTTTTTATTAGGCATTAGCCTTTTGTTGGCGCTATTATATATTTCGCGTCATGCTTGTAAATGGGTTTTATGTATTTTTGCTGCAAGAAAATACAACAATCGGGGATATTTTCCCAACGCAAATAAGTTGGTGAGATTAAATTGTAAAGAAATGCAATGAGTATAAATTAGTTTAGTTTATTCTTAATAAATTGCGTGATATGTCTGCTAATTATGAGTATGTGTGGATGGGTTAATTTCCACACGGACAAAGGAAAAATGAAAATTTGGACTAAATAATCAAAGTTTTCATTTCATGGATTCGTGAATCCTGAGGACGGAATTCCTTTTGTTAGGGGGGAAGAATGTAATACCCCTATATTTTAAAGGTATTATTTATTGGGATTATTATTATTTTTTTTTACAATAATTTGTTTGATTTAATTAGGATTTATTGCTTTTGTTTTATTTTTAAATGATTTGTTTTATTTAATTGAGTGTTATGATAAATTATCTTATTTGTATTAAATTATATTTCATGATTATAGTTGATGAATTGGCGTGATTTTTTGTTTTGTGGAATGCTAAGATTGAATTGTTTATTTGACTATGTGTAATTTTATGCTTGTGTGATTTTATTGTGAATTATTCATATTTAATAGGTTTAATTTAATTATTTTATTTATTTAAGTTAATTAGTTTGGGCTTAAGAGGAGTTGGACCAATGGATATGGTCTTGAGCTTGGATGAAGCCTTATTGGGTTAATTAATAAAGGCCCATGATTATGTGATTATTTAAATGATCATTTTTGTATAATTATATATATATATATATATATATATATATAATTAATTAATTAATTATTAAGTGTTATGGAATGATATATATATATAAATATATATATTTATATATTTATATATATAAATATAAATATAATATATATTTATATATATATATATTATTTAAAAATAATTATTATTTCTTTTATTTGGTAGTCATAATAGGAATATGATTAGGTATTAATGTGTATAAATATACCTATAAAGTTTAGGGTTAAAAAGTTTGCACGTTAAAAAAATAAGACAGGCAGAGAAAGAAAAAGAAGGGCTGACAAAGAGGAGGTCAGACCAAAGAAAAAGCAAGTCACATTTAGAAGAGACATGCGAGTTCTTCTCTACTTCTCCTTTTATGACTCATAAGCCTATCATCTTGAGTATCAAAATTATAGTTTTATTTTTATTTTGTTGATTACAATAATTTATTAATCGGATTATAGGAGCATGCTTATTCTTCGCAAAATTATAAATTTAAACATGTGTATGTATATATGTGTGGTTATGTTAATTTTATTTTATTTTCTATAATTTTTATAGTTTGCTTTAATTATGTTAAATGGATGTTTAAGTTATGATATATGTTAATCTTGGCCCAAAAATATTAATATTAAGTATTTGGGGTTTTCTGGAATTTTTTTGGACTTTTAAAAATATTGTTAGAATTGTTTTGTATTTTTTTGTTTTTTTTAATATTCTGGAATTGTTTAAAAGTGTTTTTATAATTTTTGGGAAAATTTATATACACTTTACACAAAATGTGTGTGTCAAAAGGAGTTTTTGATCCTGTGCGGTGCAACACACAGGGCTTTGGTGCGCCCAAATCAAGACCATTAGATGGTCTGATGATCAGGAGACAATATAGTGTGGTGTGGTACATGGAAGGATGGTGCGCACGCTAATCTGGGCAATTGACTTGTTTTGATAAAAGCGGATCGATTCAGTGCGGCGCATGCTTATGGAGATTTAGGTGTGTAACGGATCTGACCGTGGGATGCGGCTTCATGAAGGCGATGGATCCAGTGCGGACAGGTTCCTGGCTGACTGGTGAGTGCAGCCAATGGTTACATGCCAGTGCATGCTAAGGGAAGCTGCAGGTGCGTGGACGCGCCTACCAATGCGTCTGAGCGCGTGCAATGTGTGTGGGAGTGTGTGGCGGTGCTTAAGGGCGTGTGGGGATGCGTGCGGGGTCCCAGGAAGTTGATATGGAGTCCGGTGACGTCCCAGAATTGATTTCAAGAGTGAGTTAAATGACTGTTTTACCCTCGATGGCTCTTAGAGATCATTATTAAAGTGAAATGACTATCTTACCCTTGTGTGTCTTCGGATTCCGGTGAGGACCCGGCTAGCGATCCGAATCCCCGGATTTGGGTCGTTACAAGACTAATTTGAGGAAGTCCAACTACTAGTAGCAGACGCTTGAATGCATTGTATTATCAGTGAAAAGCTTTCCATATTCAAACTCACCTGCTTTGAATCTCACACCCCTAAGTGACCATAAAAGAAAGAATTCCGGTTATGTTAGTGCAACAGTAATATTTGAGAGAGTCTGGAAGTGAGTACCTTTGGGCATGATGCAGTCCCCCAAGCCATAGCAGAAATGGCCTGCAAAAGTTATAAAAATATCAGCAAAACTTGACAAGTATAATTAAAACTTGAACAGAAGACCACACATGTGAAAGGCATGTTGCGTATACGCAAAATAGGTGGACCAAAATTTTATGATTTACAACCTGAGCTCCTCCAGCTTTTAGAATGTGTGTCACACTAGCTTTCTTGGCATAATAAAGTACCTCCTAAATAAAAGCACTTATATTAGCTCTTGACAAGTCATAATAAGATTCCTCGTCAAGATGAAATCAAATACCTTGCAGTTGCTTCCATCCTGAGCAGGGGGGGTTGCAACAATAACAGTTTTACACCCAGCAATCTGTGCAGGCTGGTGTACAGAATAGAATAAATGTCAATTAAATCTGATAACCTAGAGATCAGCGATCAAGAAAAAGATCATAATTTGATGAACAAGCAAAAGCAATTTATGCAGTAAACTCAATTAACATACAACTGAGAGCATCAGAGCCGTCGAAGGTAAAACTGCAGTTCCCCCAGGAACATAAAGACCAACAGAGGTAATGGTCCTTGCCACTCGTTTGCATTTAACACCCTGGCAGGAATACAACCAAAATGAGTTACAAGGTTCGACCACAAAAGAAAGATTCAATTTTATATTGCTTACTTTCATGTTTTCAACGGTTCTCTCAACCGATCTTTGCGCAGCATGAAATGCATAGATGTTATCGTATGCCACATCAAATGCTTCTCTAACAGCTGCATCAAGCTAATTTTAAGAAGCAGATGAGAACATTTCTAGTATCAGAAGTAGCAAACTGCACTCATTGAAGCCACAAATTGAAAACCCGTCTTTATTCTCCAAACCAATGTAAATGACATACAATCCACACTCGAATCACATCTAAAAGGAAATTCCAAAATTATAAGAACTGAATACCTGTGGATCTGGAAGTTCACTGACATTTTCAACTGTCGTGTCTAGTTCAACTTTGTCAAATCGTGCAGAATAACTGCCAAGGAAATATCAATGGCATGTCAGAGGAAAACTCACTATTAGAGGAGCTTGGAGTTGAAACAAATAATTAAAATTCCTTTTTAGAGTTTAATAAAAAGGAAAGCATGATGAAATATTACAGAATGAAAAACAAAGAAGCGCCTACTCTTTAACAATAACAGCAGCGCCTCCTCTACTCCGGACATCTTCAACAATTGGGTGAAACTGATGCAGCATGACACAGAGCCACCAAATGCTAATAAGAGAGAGAGGAGGAGGGGGACCCGTTTTTGCTTTGGGGAATTACATAAAGGCTTACCTTACTGAAAATGGAAGAGAAATCAATGCGAGGACGAGCCTTGAGGCTATTGACCTCAGCCTGACTAAGCTCTGATAGCTTATAGGACTTCATTATGAAGAGATCCAGCAACAACAGTCAACTACAAGATAAGAACAAAAAGCATTATAAGCAATATAGTATTACATTATTTTTCATATCCAAACCAATTAGAGGTCAAGATTAGTGAAGCAGTATAGACCATAGAGGCATATACCAAATCCAAACCATGTAGTCAAAAACTAGACAAGCATTGCAGCTTGAGCAAGATTCTTCATATATATAAGACACATTTTTTTAATCCAATAATAGAGATTCTCGATTTCATTTGATTTGGTAATTCAATGAATTATTTAGAATTAAATTCATATTCCAATTATTAAGAACTGGATCCGAAAAAGATTTAATTTTTGTTAAACCAAATTTAATGTAAAAATGAGATTAGCAAACAATGATTAGGAAAGAAGAGAGAATCCGAAAATGAAAAAATATATATAAACTACAAAAAAAAAAAAGAGTAGAAATTAAGCTATTTGACTATTTATTAAAGAAATAGATAAATTTGGGAGATGGAAGAAGATGAAGAAGAAAAAATTATTATAAAAAAATTATTTTAACAATATGTATATATTATTTAGTGCAATATTATATAATATATTATGTATTTTACTATTTCAATCCATATTCAAATTATTGAATCAACTTCAAATCAAAAAATTTAACCAAAAAAACTTCAAATCAAAATCAATTGTTCTGCCGCAAGCAAATAAAATAGCAGAGAAGAAAGATATCTCAAAATATATGCAATCATGAGAGAGAATGTAAGAAACAAAACCAGCAGAGATCTAAGAAAAAAAATATCTAAACACAAACAAATCTGATAAAAAACCTCGGATCTGAGAAGGAACGATCAATATTTTTTAAAATTCCTAAAAAAAATGTTCCAAACGATTAGCACATGCTTCTTATATTCCCATCAATTGGTCTGCGCAAAGAATTCAACAAACAAAACCAATCCAGATCTAAGAAAAAGATCTTCAATCACAATCAAAATTGAGAAAAAACTTTGTATCTGAGAAGCAGAGGAAAATAGTGTTAGTAAACCAATACCAATAGTAATAGAAGCAGGGGATTAGTGCTGACTGGTGTCTGTGTGCTCGCCAATTCGGAGATCGTAGTGCTAGGTCAAACTATATGAGGCGATATATATATACGCAGGTAAAATTCCAGATTTTCAGTTCTGTTCATATATGATACACAAAGGATGATAATTTAATTTCTCTCTCAAATTTTTCATCACGGTCAAATTTGTGTACTATATTTTAATCGAAATACGTGTTTTCTTTTATTTAATATGTTTTAGTTATCCGGAAGCTTCCAAAGTCAGGGAGTTGGTGAAGAATTGAGTTTTGAGTTTTTTTTTTTTTTTTTTTCTTAAAAAGAAACTTGAGTCTTCAATCTCTACATCACCAAGGTAATTACTTCCTTGTCCCAAACAAGATCGATCCATCAATGGAAACAAAACAAAGCTTGCCTATAGTTGTTGTTATTGTTCCTCTTTCTAATTCTCACATCCATCAGTCTTCATCTTCATCTCCATCAGCTCTGCCATAGCTTTTTCGCTGCTCTTACTTCCCTACCAGTACATAGATCAAACTCGTGTTCCAACTATCATCTTTAAAGGCCTCCCATCTATCTTCCAGGGCTTCGTTATATCGATTATCTTCGCTTTTACCGCTTCCTTTAGCGCGGTTTTCCTCCATAAAAGGCCAAAGATTGCAAGTTGCTTCCTCTATTTCTCCATGCTTTCAATGGTAAGCGCTGTCCTGTTTCTGTTTTGTGCCATGTCTTCAGCCCTTCCCAGGTCGGCATCTGACGAGCTCGGAAGAATCACCCGTCGAAGAAGAAGAAGAAGAAGATATCCACAGGGGAAAAAATGTTTTGATGAAACTTTTATTTTCCTGCAATGTAACCCTAACCTTTCCTTGTAACTTGCAACCTTAGATGTTATAAAACTTCAATATTATGTTAAATTTTTTTTTTTTCGTATTTCAGTGAATTGCTATGTAAGACTGCAAGGCCCATCATCATGTTTTGCAATTTACTATACACCTCAATTCTATGCAAATCCAACAATTATTGATCCAACTTCCATTTCAAATTGGTTTTCCAAACTATTACGTATATATTGGTAAAGTTATGAACTCAGTTAACGTCATATTAAAATTTGTGAGACTGATCTAGAAGATGTGCTTTTTGGGCCAATTAGGGTTGATGAGTCCGTCTGCGTTTTTATCCCATCTGCTTGATCCAATAGAGTCCAGAACCCTAGAAAATGAATAACAGCGTAATTTGATGCACTTCCTATGCAAATTGTGTCATTTAATTATGCGAAGGTAAAAAAAAAAAAAAAAAACCCGAGTAATTGTGATTCAAATTTTCAATTATGTTCATAAAAAAACACACAATTTGTCAATGATGGGATGATAATCTCTCTCAATTTAATTACGAGTCATATTTTTGGGATGGACTATTTCAATTGTTGAGATTTCTTTAAAATATATCGATACACTCTCTTGAAATCATTTTCTAGAGAGCCTGAATAGGTTCAAGATCATCTAATAATTTGTCATCAACGTTAACATCCACTGCACCAACATCCACTACACAGCCTCATTGGTACCTATGATAGACAAGACATGACCAATTTTGGTCAATCCTTGTTGGAAACGGGGGCATTAAAAACATAAACTTTGGATGAGATTTGGAATAGATTCCGCTAATAATTTTTTGTGAATCTCTAGACGAGCACGTTTCTCTTTGGAAGGAGATGAACGTGGTATATTTACTTTCTCAAATCTGTTTCCGGGTGAATGAGAAATTAGCTCCAAAGTGTGATATTTTGATAAGCCTAAATGGATATGCAAAATGTGAGAAGTGTTTGTCCCACATGAAAAAAATGTTAAAACCAATTGAAATTTAAATAAGCCAAATTTGGGTTTGGACTTGGGCTTGGGCTTGGGCTTAGGCTTGGGCCTAATTGTAAAGTTCAATTATTCTTTTTACTAAATGAAATCTTAGATCGGGTCTTTAATTTTGGACTGGGCTTATTTAAATGGATGGTTGGTTTTTGAATTTAAATTAAAAGTTAATTTTTTTCTAAAGGGTTGCATCATTTCTAAAGGGTTGTATCTGTTTTTCAAAGAATTGCATATGTTTCTATAGGGTTGCAACTCAAAACCAACAGACATAACTATTCATGTGAACCATTGGAACCTATTAGAGTAGATGTGTCTATTGGTGAACAGACACCATGTGAACCATTACAACCAATTGGAATGGATGTGTCCAGTGTGAAGAGACACATATAAATGGTTGTATCCAATGATGAAGAGACACACCCAATCCGAAAAGACACCTTACTTAAAAAACTACTTTTTAGTTTTTTCCAAAGGGTTGCACCCAATCCGAAAAGGCACATTAATTAAAAACTACTTTTTAGTTTTTTTCCAAAGGGTTGCACCCAATCCGAAAAGGCACATTGTTGCCTATAAATACCCCCATTTGGATCATTTGCAAATCGTTCATTTTCATTTTCTTCTATCTCCCTCTCTAGACTTGAACCCAACCCAAGTCGGTTCAAACCATAGGTTAAGTGGTTCGAGCCACTTAGACCCTAATCCAATTTCATCAAGCCATATTAAGATTGGTCCGAACCATTTGGTTCGGATTGCACCCAATTGCACATTTATATAGTGTAAATGCATTTTTTAATCAGAGAGAGTATTACACGGAGGAGGTTCGCCGTATCCACGAGTTTGTAGTACTGCTACTGGTGGATGTAAACCATTGTATCTTGGGAGATAGACGCCACTGAGTCCGTTAGCACCATAGCGGGGCGAATCTGTCTTAAGGACATAGTATTCAATACTAGCCTCGGTTCAGGTTCTTTATTTACTATTTATTAATTTATTGCTTTATTTTGCGTATTTTATTAAATATATAGTTGCATATTTAATTAATCATTTCTTAACATATTGTTAATTATCTCACATCGTATTAGTATAAGGGTTGTTATATCTTAAAAGTCACATTAAACATATATTTTACCAGCAATCTTAAGACGGACTCTATCCTTCCGTAGATATTATTTAAGATATAACCAAATAGAGATTATACTAATAATTGAGATATAATAAAATATTGTTATATACATTATTATATGATAATATGCTAAATATTGATGTGTTCAATATTATGTGAAATTGAAGCATGTTATATAAGTAGATTATTGAATTATTTATTATTTTCAATATTCGTTGAATTATTTTAATTTTGTAATATGATATTATGTGATATATTATATTACCTTAAACATGTGCCAACTAGAGATGGAAAATGGTACTCCGTTACTTTTATCAATGATTGCAC